CTGCAGGAGATTGTCTTGACCATGTCTACATGCCTAAATGCACTGAGTTGCCGCCATGTGATTGGCTGATTAGAAATTAAGTGTTAACGAACAGTTGGACAGGTGTACCTAATAAAGTGGCCTGTGAGTGTAAACCCCTCAAAAGCAGCTAAAACTGAAAAAAAAAACTGATTGGTAAGAAACACCTCATTGTGGCAAAAAAATGAAAAAAAAAATCATAACAGATTGGTAGGAAACTCCTCAAAAGTGTCTAAAATTTAAAAATAAATAAATAAACAATAACATAACCGATTGGTAGGAAACCCCAACAAACACATAAGGCCAAAAAACAACTGAGCAAGCCCACCTGTCAAACAAAAAACACCTATGAGTACATTAGGGCCCACCGCCATGCATGCCTGAGTTTTAAACAAAGATTTCATGTTAGCTGTCTGCTCAGCTTGTTTTGCAGATGACTCACCTACCGTCACACCATATTTCAGCTCAATAAATATAAATTTGAACAAGTTACAGCCATACGTGTTTACTAAGGACCGTTAGCTGTGGTGGTCATCTTGAATCGAATTAACTCCAAAAGTTTGAGTTGTAAATATACATTCGATTATTACTTTTTGAGAGTTTAATTAAAATTCATCTAATGGTTTATGATATATTTTGCTAAAAATAAACAAAACAAAAGTACATTGACAAAGTTGTTGAATGTGACAAAATCAGATACATACGTTAGAAATGTATGCAACTAAAAAACTGCCAACATTTTATCCAAACAAATGACAGACATGCAAACATTTGCATAAAAGTTAATTAAATACAAGCAAAAGTACCAGATTAATAAAACTGATATAATGTGCCTAAACTTAATGAATAAACAATAAAGAGATCCAAAATGACCCCAAAGAAACTACAAAAGGACTCGATTGCTCATAGCTATGGACACATAAACACTTGAAAGCAAAAAAGACAAAACTACTTTGCACAGAAAATTACAAACTGACCAAAATAAACAGAATAAATAATCATGAATAGATACAAATAACAACAAAGGACAAAAACATATGCAAAATAACTCCAAAAAATTACAGTTGTAGACAAAACGACTACAGATCCTGTCTATTAGTTTTTCTGGATCCATCAAATTTTGCAAATTTAGAGGTCTTGTCTGATCTCAGGTGTTCTTTTGTTTTCTTATCTGTTCATGCAAACATATATAATAAATAAAGACATTTAACTATAAACAATAAGACCAGATGGTAACATGAAATAATAAGAGCTTTAGAGAGAAACTAATAAAACTTGAAAGAATGTTCAACTAATAATCCAAATGTTAAACATTTCGTTAGCCTCATAGCATACAGGTCCTTCTCAAAAAATTAGCATATNAGGACCTGTATTTGCCCAAGACATATTTGGTCACAAATGCCTTAGGCATAGACTGTATGCTATGAGGCTAATGATATACAGTATGTGTTTGTCCAACAGCTGAAGGAGGTTCACCTGCAGTTGCTGTAGTAAAAACAGTCGCAGCCCCTCTGGAGCCAGAGTTGGTCCCTCAACTCAGACCAGTCCAGGACAAGGACAACAGAACAGCCTCCACCCTCACCTCCTCTGCGGTCACCACCTCCTCTCCATCTTTTGAACCCCTTCCATCATCAGCTACTGAAGACAGTCAAAAACTAAGCACCCCACTTCCTTTGTCTCCCACGATAAAAACCTCTCCATCCTTTGCCCTTCCCAAAACCCAGAGTCCAGTGAACGTGGTGACCCCAATGACCCAGAAACCATCACCTCTTGTAACCCCGCCCTCCACCCCGATGAAACCTGCCGTGGCCTCGGTGCCCACCTACATTCCCACGACTGCTGCCACTGCTCGTGTGGCTCCTACTCCTGTGTCTTTCTCCCCGCAAGTGCTCCAGACCTCCAGTCTGAGCCCCATCGGAGAGGGACCGAGTACCCCTACCAGAGGAACACCATCGGGACGAACCACACCCTCCACTGCTCTACGTCAGGGGGTTCCACAGAAACCATACACGTTCCTGGATGAGAAAGCCAGGTAAGACACCATCATTGCCAGAAATCACAAATGAATTAAAGGCCTAACACTCCTTGAAGAAAGATGTATCACCACTGCATTATGTGACAAACATTTTAACTGTATAGTTTTATACTTATAGCTGTTTTGGTCAAACCTTGAGAATAACATTCTCACATTCAATATCACAAAATCTAATAACTAGACTAAAGTATGTATTGAGGATGACATTTAGCTACTGCGACTACACCAAACTTTAGCTCAGTATCTATAAAACTTACCAAGACATAGTTGTTGTTTTTTTCACATTTGATTGGCTGTGGCCACATCTAGAATTGGGTTGGCTCCAAACGTTACATGAGTTCTCAAAGACGTACCATCAAGTTATTATTTTCTGAAAGTTTTAATAAAATCCATCCACTGGTTCACGGGACTTTCTGCTAAAACTCAGACTTACAAACATAGAGACACAAGCAAAAACTTTATCACATGCCTTTCTGCTGGTAGTTATTAGGGTTGCAAAAATCTGGTCAAATATGAAAAATATCTGTAACAATTTAATGTATTTAATGACAGTTATAAACCTGGAATTTAAAACATTCATAGTTGACCCTTGACATGGATTTTAAATACAGTTTTGGGGAAAATATAAACTATGTTGCCTGGACATATGGACACGTGTACGGAGATAAATTGGTCCCAAAATATTTTGAGGGTGCGCAACAGCATTGGAGCACACACAACAAAACTTGCACAAGCGTGTGAATCAGCATATGCGTGCGAATGTGATTTTGAGACTTTCTTATCACTTCAGATTCCCACGGGTAAGGCTGTTTTCAGGGCTGGTGAAAAGCTGGGACATCTGAGCCTTACCACATCTCTTTACTGGATGAATCCTTGAAAATGCCTGAATTTCAATGTGTTTTCAAGGTTTCAAAAGGGCTTGATTTCTGCATGGTCCTTGACAGTGCTTGACATGCACAGTTTTGTAATAAAAAGCACTCTAAAAGTCTGATTAAAAACCTCAGTTTGATATTTTAATGCATGCACATTATAGAGAGCGTTCATTTTGCCTTTGTTGAAATCTCAGAAAACTGTCGCTCAGAGTGGGTTTGCTCCTTTTCGTAATACCAGTGTTAGCAGTAGAGCTCACCTGATCGAAATACGAGCCACTTGACTGGCAGCGTCCTCTGCTATGAAGTAGACCTACATTGAGCATGTAACTGTCTTGTTAGTCACGCACATCTCGGTTGAGCAAGAGAAAACAGCCTGCCAAGCAGTTACCATTTAATGATCACTGGCTCAAAAACACCAGCTACAAAACATGGCTGAAACGAGAACCTGTGAAACCTGCAGCTGTTCACAGTTGGAGAGTCTGTGCTCATGAGCCATGATGCAAAAGTAGTGGGAGGGTATCCTTAATAAATGAATGGCTATTCCTTTTGTGAAAAAACTACCAGGAAAATGTATTTTTATGGTAATATATATATTTATTCTGAAAAATTTTCAACATACTCATTTTAGGTTATTTCAGCTGTACAGCCCACAAAATTGTAATTTTTGGAATCCTGTAATGTCAATGTAAAGGCGCTCAAATCTTTTTGAGACTAATTTATCTCCATACACCGACATGCAGGGGTCAGATGGAATTAAAATAAACGAAATGTAACATTTTCTGTACAGACTGTAAATTTAGACATTTGAATATATATACAGTATATATTTTGTTTTGCACTTTGTCGTTTTTCTCATGTGCATACAATGAAAACATTTTTATAAGAGTTGTCCAGATGAATTAAGAAAAGGATTACAGCAACATAAAAGGAGAAGTCCTAGATAATGAGACATTTTCTTTGCAACCCTGGTTGTTATTTGATGTTTCTACTCTTCTGTTTTAATTTAAAGAACCTGTTTCATCTTCTTTCTTCAGGGGCCGATTTGGAGTGATTCGTGAGTGCCGTGAAAACGCAACGGGCAAAATCTTCATGGCAAAAATCATTCCCTACAGTCCGGAGACGAAGCAGGATGTGCTAAAGGAGTACGAGGTCCTGAAGTCCCTTCATAACGAAATGATCATGTCCCTGCATGAGGCCTACGTCACTCCGCGCTACCTGGTTCTGGTGGCCGAGTACTGTACCGGCAAAGAGCTGCTCTACAGCCTCACGGACAGGTAGGATGGAGGATCTTTCACCTGACGCTGAGACGCTTTGACTCCAAGAAACTGACATGATTCTTCTTCTCTTTTTTTTTTTTGAACCTACTTCAGGTTTCGGTACTCTGAGGACGACGTAGCGGGCTACCTGGTGCAGATCCTTCAGGCTGTGGAATACCTCCACAACCACCGAGTCCTCCACTTAGACTTGAAGTCCGACAACATCCTGGTGACCAACCTCAATGCTGTGAAGATTGTGGACTTCGGCAGTGCTCAGATCTTCAACCCCCTCAACCTGAAACCTCAGAACTCTGAAGCGGGGACACTGGAGTACATGGGTGAGAGTTGATTCCAAATATTATTCCAATGTTTGGATTTGTTTCTACAATTTGATTTTTTTCCCCTAATGAAACAAAAACAACACGGTAATCCTCTTAAAATGTTTCTTGACAAGCTCCTGAGATGATAAAAGGTGAAGTTGTTGGGCCTCCTGCTGATATTTGGACTGTTGGAGTTGTCACCTACATCATGTAAGTTTTACTGTAGGGATTTTTAACGGCGTTTACCCTTTAAATTACATTTGTTTTATGTGGATTAGTGTTACATGAAGACATTTTGATGATTCCTTCTTCTCTGATTTTCTAAACTAAGTGCTTACTTCTCTCTACTGACACTAAAAACAATGTAATTTGTTTTTATAAAATTCATCCCTGGTCCAGACTTCTGCTGTACAGGATTCCTATTAGATTCCTTAAAGGAATGCATGACACCCACCAAATTAGGTGTCTAGGTTTTAAAGTTGTTGCATGATCAGTTGGGGCTCAGGGTTTGTGGTTGAGGTGACTCTCAGCTACTACCACACCAAATTTTAGCTCAGTGTCTGTAAGAATGACTGAGGTATAGCCATTTTTTGCATTTTCTAAGATTAATTAGCTGCAGCGAGCATCATGAAGTTCACTCAGTTGTAGTCGTGAATCCAGTGATTATTTGCTGAAAGTTTCACTAAGATCCATCTTCTGGTTCAACACAAACAAAGGCAATAAAAAGATTGTCAATTTTTCAAAGAGGTAGGGGATCTCCAACTTCATCTGCTACTGCTTATCCATAGGTGGGTCGTGGAGGCAACAGGTCCAGTAGGAAAAACCCAGACATCCCTCCTCTCAGCTATACTTTATAGCTTGTATTGGGGAACCCTGAGATGTTCCCAGGCCAGAGAAGGTACATAATCCCTCCAGCGAGTCCTGGGTCTTCCCCAGAGCCTCCTACCAGTGATACATGCCCTGAATGCCTCTAAAGAAAGGGGTCCAGAAGGCATCCTAATATGATGCCTGAACCACCTCGACTGACTCTTTTTGATGCGGAGGAGCAGCGGCTCTACTCTGAGCTCCCCCTGATAATGACAGAACTCCTCACCCTATCTCTAAGGCAGGCAAATGTGACCCAAATCCAATTATTTCCTGACAGTTTGAATGTGACAAATCAATTATTTTTTCAACTCCGTGGTAATAAATTGGATACTTATCTGATGCGAATGCTGCTGGCTGTTTCAGGAGAATGCACCTTATTTGAGAGGAAGTTTATCTGCAGCTTCCCGTTGATAACTAATAACTAGACGAGCTGACACAAGAAAGGCAGCCCACGTTATTTGCATAATGGGGCAGAAATGCTTAGAGTTAAGTAAAAACAGGAGACAAAGAAATGTAAAAAACTACACACAAAGAGCTACAAAAAATTTTGATAAAAAGTTAGGAGATGCAAATGCATTTACAAGTAAGATGGAAAAAACATTTTTAAAAACAGTCTGATTTAAATTATGTGGTAAAATGGATAACTGAAGTTGGAAAAACATGAGGTGAAGTTCTCTTGGTGCATTTTTAGGTGTATTTAATAAGTGGGCCATTTATATAATTCTGATTTTATTTTTGATTTTGTCAGTTTTGGTCCTCCATACTTCTGCACATGTGAACTGCACCAATACTGAGGAGAGTTCATGCTGGAGTCTGATGAAAGTCACATTTATGTGAACGGCCGCGCCAAAATTTGAGCAAAAAAAGTCGGAATTGAGCATTGAGCCTGCAATGTGAACATAGCCTACGTTATTCACCATATGGAGGAAGCTTATTTCGGCTGCTTGTATCATGGAGATCGATTTCTTGATCCAAACCTCATGACCATAGGTGAGGGTTGTAATGTAGACAGACAAGCAAATTGAGAGTATCGACTTTTGACTCGACTCTTTCTTTACCTCCACCGACCGAAGCAACACCTTTTACTGAGGACGAGGCCCAATCTGTTGATCCATCTCCCGCTCCATCCTACCATCACTCGTGAGCAAGGACGATTCTTATGGTTTTTCTTGTGAAAGAAAATTAAGCGTGATTGTTTACCACTTTATGTGCTTGAACCAAACAGAAAATGCACCAATACATGGATACTGAATAGAAAAGGTTTCATACAACACCACACACAGAGCGTTCTGGCTGAAGGCAGTTTATTCTTAGTCTGCGTTCAGGCCTCGGTTTCCAGAAGTCATTTCACTATAACAGGATCTTCAAGACATGACTCCGCCTGATTTATTGCGTCATCAGGATGGCTCCTTAACACTGCTCAAGCCATGTCCTCACAAAATATTCTGATTTAATGAAGACCAATGGTTCAGTCATGCATTGAATCTGTGTTCAGGCATGGATCTACATAAAATTATAAATTCAAGCAAAATGTCACATCATAAAAGAAATTACCGTTCTCCTAATAAAAAGAATATACCATATGTAGTGTAATTAAAATCAGTATCTAAGCAAACCCCAATAAATTTCTTCACTTGGTTGCTTTGATGCAGCAGTCAACTCAAACTCCACATCTTCAAAACAGTGAACACACAGGCCTAAACAGTGCCACATTTTGTTTGAAGAAGAATAACCAAGCCAAAACATTCAAAATATGAAACAAAGGCAAAATATTGCCTCCAAATAACACAACTTGCAACCAATTGTCTGAGCTTGTCTGATCAATTGTAACAAAATGGGCACCAAAATACAACACTCGGTGCACCAGTGCTTGTCTTTGTAACCTACTACTACATTGCTTTCATCCCATTTGTTATCTTTCTATTCAGGCTGTGTCAAATTGTTCTGGATCCAGAATCCGAAAGGGTTTGATGCAAATTTGATTGATTCCAAGATATTCCAAATTTCTTCTGAAACTTGAGCCATGATTGATCTCTGAAGCTTGAGAAGAAAAGGTGTCAATCCAATGAGAAATGGTTTTTGCAAGAGTTGACTTCTGCACTGTTGGGTGATGATAAAACTGAGTGGATCCCAGTTTAGCAGGTCAAAGCAACCAAGAAAACCTGTAAATTCCTCCATTTGAGGCAAAACTCTGGAGCAGGAACAGGAGATAGGGGAGACCGGGGCTGGTTGTCACTCTTTTTACACTTTTATATATTTCTTGGAAGCAAAACATCATGTAAAAAAGAAATGTGTATCAGATGAAAGACCAAAGTCCTGGGTATATATTTTGCATTTGTGTAATTTTCATATCTTACATCAGTGCAGAGTTATGAGCAATCAAATAGAGAGAGTGAACATGGGACATTTTGCCCCACCATAGGGAAAGTTGTCTCACTATATGGGGTAAGATGTCACGCTGGATTTTGCAACTAATAAACCGAGGACAAAATTATTGTTGTTCTGTTTTTTACTCAAAAGTGAACTTGAGAGTTGAAGTCAGGCACAGAAAAGTGAGAATAGCAGTTTCTCTGTTTTTTTTCTCTTCTGGTTAACTTCTTTTCTTGGACCAGCTTTTGAATAAGGCCTAATATCTAGGGATGCACGATATATCAGTAATGATATCGGTATCAGCCGGTATTGGTCATCTTTTAGAATATTGGTATCGGTCCGATATGTAAAACGGGGCCGATAATAATGTCTGATATTGATTTCCCACTTTTTATCTTTGTGTTTCTGTTTTGGGAGGGGAGACGGTTGGTTGAGCAGCATCTGTTTGATCATGATAGTGATAATGACGCTGCATAACTAGGAATAACTGAAGTAGGGAGCCATGTCAGAGATCTGGTCATTTATTTACAGTATCAAAAAACACCCAAGTGTGTTTTTGCGGATATGTATAATATAATTTGTGTGTTTGTGTAATATCGTTAAATATCGGTTATCGGCCATGACACCAATAATTATATCGGATATCGATATCTGCTGAAATTTTCATATCGGTGCATCCCTACTAAAATCCTCTGGAGTTAATGTGTTGGTTAAGGTGATGCTGGCTTGCTAGAGACTGAATAGCTTGGTTGGTGCTTTGGCCTGGAGTATCTGGGTCAGTCCTGGGTCCTCCTGTTTGATTTATTAGCTAGGGTCACTTGCCTGACTGCCCTCAGCAGCACGTCAGTTGCTGCACTGCAGTGTTCTGTTTGCCGTTTGTAATTCCTGAAAATGTCTTATTGCTTTCTGCTCTCCTTTAAACTACCCCTTTTCTGTAAAAATAAAGTAAAAATATCATTATGACAACTAAAAGTTATTACTATAAGTAATAAGCAGATTCTTTATGTTAATTTTAATCCTTTTTGAAACTTGTCAATTTGGGGTAAGTTGTCAAATGTGACAACTTACCCCAAAATGACTGAGACAAGTTGAACCAAACTACCTTGTTTGCTAATTTGACCTCTAGCTCAAAGTTAGCTTAAAACTGAACAATGACTGAGGTATGACAGGATGCCTTAATATCTCCTCCAACAAGTCCACAAGTATCACTGTTAGGATTTTTATCCAAAAGAAGCTTATTTTGAAATATTTGAGTTGATTTTTTTTTTTGACTTTGGGTTGTGCAAAAAGGTTAACTGGTGCTCATCTCACCTTACAATGTGCTAGTCTCTTCTGCTATAGGACAAAACACCTGATCATGTGAAGGAAGAAAACTAGTATTCCATTTTTTAGTTGCGCCCTCTGGTGGAGAAGATAATTGCAATGTGACAACTTACCTGTGTGACAACAAGCCCCAGTCTCCCCTAAATGTTGTGTTGTGTTTTGTGTTTTTACATTTGGAATGAAACTCAAACTATGTTTGTTTGTGTCTTCTTCCAGGCTTAGCGGTCGACTACCGTTTGAAGATAAAAACCCTCAAAAAGTAGAGTCCAAAATTCTGATGGCCACGTTCGACCCAACAAAACTTTACCCAAATGTTTCCCAAAGTGCCTCAGCCTTTCTCAAGAAGATGTTGAGCAGCTATCCATGGTGACCGCTAACGTGGCTAACATTAAGCTGATTAAAAATAAATTAAATAACGAAGGCTGGATTTTGAACCTGTCTGGTTTTGGTTTTTCAGGGCCCGTCCCACCACGCGTGATTGCTTCACGCACGCCTGGCTGCAGGACTCCTACCTGATGAAGCTCAGGAGGCAGACCCTCACCTTCAGCTCCAGCCGACTCAAGGAGCTCCTGGTGGAGCAGCAGAGCCACCGCGCAGAGAGCGCCACCAAGCACAAGGTGCTGCTGCGCACCTACCAGGGCTCGCCGCGATCCCCGTCACCTGCCACGGCGCCGCATGTTCCCACCCCGAAGTGAGACGGCGGCGAAAAAGCTAGGACTTTTTAGATCCTAATCTAAAATCAAACACAAACAACTGCTCTTCTGTGAAGCAGCTCTGGGTGACAGATGTCAGCTTACAGCACCGCTGGAAGCATAACGCTGGATTTCATGATGTTATTTTGGGATCGTTTGGATTCAAAATACAGACAGTTGTGTGTTTCCAAGTTTGCTTTAAAACCAGCGAAAGGACACGGGAGGTAGTTTCATTCGCTCCTGATTGCACAGTCTTCATCACGTTGTTCTGAAAATGCACATTTTTGTGTTTGATTTAAATACTATTTGTTTGCTGCACGATCGGACCGGAACATTAATTACTTCTCTCGCAGTTTCGACGATTCAAAAAGTTTTAGTTTTAGTTTTTTTGCGTTTTAGTCACACTTTAAAATTTTGTTACAAAAGTTCTCTTCAGAAACATGTTTACCTTCTTTTTTTTTTCCATGTTAATTTATTTGCATGTGTGTGCGTGAGCATTTTGGATTCACTTTTCGAAATGAGCGGTAGGGCAAAGAAAGAAAAGAAAAAAAAAAACAAGTGTTTGTGGTTGATGTTAAGTCAAATTCTTTTTGTCTTGTTCTGTGATCAATTCTCAGATCTGGCTGCAAATGTATATAACTAAAAGCAGTTTGTAATGTAGATTTTTCTCTAACGTGCTGCTTTATAACCATAGTTTGTCAGTGTTACGCGTCCCGGTCAGTGCCTCAGATCATAAAATTGTTTCAAAAGTCAAAAATTGATCACGACATCCAGATGCCAAGACATAAACAGAGACATGGAGTCCTTGTAAAATTAGAATGTACTGTAACAGTGTTCCTTTTGTATGATTTTGAACAGTTGATGATTTGTAAATGTACCACTTTGCGGTGTTTCAATGTGGAAAATGATGAATAATGTTTTCATCAGCTAGTATATAATAAAGGATTGATAAATTTGGGAATAGTAAACTGTTTTGTAAGTGGTGATTTCTAGTTTTGCCTTAAATCCTGTAAAAGACTTTTGATAGTGTTTGAACACGTAGTGACAGAAAGTTCATATCACTGTTAGGAGATCTAAGACTACTTGCACATGTTGGCTTTAATATGTTATTTATTCTACTCAAAGTCAATTGTAACACATGACAACATCTAATTACTCAAAAATTGTTTGTTTATTTTTACATTTTTTCACAGCACATCACCATTTTCTTATTGACACAATGCATTTTGGGGATGATGATAGGTTACAAGAGTCAATGCTAAAAAACCTTATGTGTGACGAATTTATATTTTGTTTTTTTGTTCTGCATAATATATGGGTTTGAATTACCAATTGTGATGCTTAGTAAAGTAGCTCTGGAGCTACTGTCTTGTATACATTAGCTTGGGATCTAACACCATATACAGTGGGGTGCGAAGGTTTGGGCACCCTTGTTAATTTTCCTGATTTACCTTTACAAAATCATTGATTGTTTGAATAAATTTTTTTTTAACTATATCATATAGGGGACAAACAGTGATATTTGAGAAGTGAAATGAAGTTTATATGATTTACAGAAAGTGTGCAATAATAGTTTAAACAAAATTAGACAGGTGCATTAATTTGGGCACTGTTGTCATTTTATTGATTTCAAAACCTTTAGAACTAATTATTGGAACTTAAATTTGGTTTGGTAATTTCAGTGACCCTTGACCTCCATACACAGGTGACTCCAYTTATGAGAAAGGGTATTTAAGGGGGGCAATTGTAGGTTTTTCTCCTCTTTGTATCTTCTCTGAAGAGTCACAGCATGGGAGTCTGAAAACAAGTTTCAAACTAGCTGAAAACAAAGATTGTTCACCGTCATGGTTTAGGGGAAGGATACAGAAAGCTATCTCAGAGATTTCAGCTTTCAGTCTCCACTGTGAGAAACATTGTGAGAAAATGGAGGACCACAGGCACAGTTCAAGTCAAGGATCGAAGTGGCAGACCAAGAAAAATCTGGAATAAACAGAAGTGAAGGATGTTGAGAACAGTCAGAGTCAACCCACAGACCAGCACCAAACACCTACAACATCATCTTGCTGCTGATGGAGTCACTGTGCATCGTTCAACTATTCAGCACACTTTACACAAGGAGATGCTGTATGGGAGAGTGATGCAGAGGAAGACTTTTCTCCACCCACATCACAAACAGAGCTGCTTGAGGTATGCTAAAGCACATTTGGACAAGCCAGCTTCATTTTGGAATAAGGTGCTGTGGACTGATGAAACTAAAACAGAGTTATTTGGGCAGAACAAGGGCCGTTATGCATGGAGGAAAAAGAACACAGCACTCCAAGAAAAACACCTGCTACCTACAGTAACATGTGGGGGTGGTTCCATCATGCTGTGGGCTGTGTGGCCAGTACAGGGACTGGGAATCTTGTTAAAGTTGAGGGACACATGGATTCCAACCAATATCAGCAGATTCTGGAGACCAATGTCCAGGAATCAGTGACAAAGCTGAAGCTGCTGAAGCCGGGGCTGCATCTTCCAACAAGACAACCACCCTAAACAGGGTCAAAATCTACTGAGGCCTTCATGCAGAGGAACAAGTTCAACGTTCTGGAATGGCCATCTCAGTCCCCACACCTGAATATTATTGAAAATCTGTGGTGTCACTTAAAGAGAGCTGTCCATTCTCAGAAACCATCAAACCTGAATGAACTAGAGATGTTTTGTAAAGAAGACTTGCAGCTGTAATTGCAGCAAAAGGTAGTTCCACAAAGTATTGATTCAGGGGTAGCTGAATACCTTTACACACCACACTTTTCAACATTATTTGTAAAAAAATGTTTTGAATCATGTATAACTGTCTTTCCACTTCACAATTATATACCACTTTATGTTAGTATGGATGGATAAATGGACATTCTCTAACAATTCATGTCAACACACACATATCATACGTCATTTTTTTCAACAAATTAATTAACATGTTCCATTGTCTTAAATGTAAATATTTATATACAGAGCTTTATCATTTAATAACTTTTACTTCATACAGCAGTGCAACAGGTTTAGCTATTTTTAAGTAACTTATATGAGATTTCCACGTCAGCTTTTCATCAATGACGACACCCAGAAACTCCACCTCACTAACTCTATAAATCTCAATACTGTCAACTCTAAATGGAACCTCAGTAATTTTTTTTCTATTACCAAAACACTTGCCAGCAAAGATGTGGATGAAACAACTACAAATTGTCTCTATTTCAATGTTCGGACAAGAAAATCATCTTCATCTCTGGGGAACTATTTTATAAACATTACCCTCATACGGGACTGTCCACAGGGAGGCGTAATCTCCCCCTGTGTTGGCTCCTGATTGTCAACACTCTACTGAGTTGAACATACGCACATAACTTGGTCATTCTTATATAAGGTTTCAGCCTGGGCACTGTATGTAACCTAATGCAGCAGGGACTAAATATTGTATCCAGATGGTGCAGAGAACAGGACCTTTTGGTCAATCCAAACAAGACAGAATTGATTCTTTTCACTCATAAGAACATGTTGGGGTGGCCAGAGTGATGTTTATTCATGTGCAACAAATGGCCTGCCTGAGCATCACAGGTTCCATCACAACAATACGGCAGCCCTTAAAGTCCTACTGGACCTGGCTCCACTAGATTTACATATCTGATGCTACATTCATACCGAACGCGTCTTGAGCTGCAGGAACGGCCGGTTTACATGCAAAATCATGGTGGATGAGCCTCTAGCACTAGAAGTCCCAGAGAAGGGTCGTTTAATATTTCTACCTTTGGAACCCAGAGAGGGATCGATTGAGCTCAAGGATTTTAGCTCACATTCTATATCAGCTGTGAACAGGTGCTTTTGTTTTGAAAATAAGCAATATGAGGGCTATTTGTTGCCTTTTGTTGTTCATATGGCTGCAGCTGATCCAGACACCCACCACGCCTGATAATATTCTCACTCTGTTTCTCAAGGGCTCCTGTTTACAAGTTTTTGCTCTGAAGATGTGGTGTGTTGCAAAGAACATAACTGGATGCCACTGTCTTTTCAGAGCTACAGTAAAAAATTGTAAAGGAACGCGAAGGTTTCTTTAAAGCTCAGTGTCGTTTCGGGGAGAGCAATGTGCCCACTTACGAGGAACCCACTCATATAGGTTCATCCATCCCCACTCACCATAACCATATTTAAAACCAACAGCTCAGGAGCTGGGCACAGGTGTTTGTGAGTGTGTGTAGATGAAAAACTTTATCATATAAAAGAACAAGTGTTATTACATTTTTGCTTTTTAAATTCATTTTGTTGCATTGAATCAGAGATTTAAAATTCACAATTGATTTTAAACTAACAGTTTTTTTTATTTGTTTGCTTTTTTGTGTGTGTGGGAGGTAAGAGTGACCCGCAGGTCAAGTGTGACCCACAGGCTGCCAGCTGAATAGTCCTGGCCTACAGTATTTTTACAAGCTCATTTTTATAGTTAAAGTGAATATTTAGAGAATAAAATCAAATGTTGGGGCAGCATGGTGGCTCAGTTTTTTTATTTAACCTTTATTTCAACAGGCAAAACATTAAGAACAGTTTCTTATTTGCAATTTTTGGCCTGAGAGTGCAAAAATACTTAAGTTACAGTGGTGGGCAGCACTAATCTAAAAATTTGTTGCGCTAACCCTAAAGCACTAACTTTAATATTTAGGACCCCTATTTCTAAAGCACTAACTTTAATATTTAGGACCCCTATTTCTAAAGCACTAACACTAACTAATTAGCAAAAGCTAATTAAAGCACTAAAAACCCAGCTGTCCCATGGAACATCCCTCAGAATCAACATGAGACAATATTTTCTGTGTGCAAAATATTGTTAATATTTCATTCAGTGTAGTGGTTCCCAGAGTTGGGGTCAGGACCTCTTTGTGGGTCACAAAACATCAAGTGAGTGCCCCCAGATAATTTCAGATGACAATTTAAATGTTCAATTTAATTTAAATGCAAAAAAATGCTACTGGAATATTTTCATCATGATTATTGCAATTTTTTAATAATCATAAATGAATAAAAATTTGCATCAAAGTTACCAGGTTTGTTTATAGTCATTATTCCCATGTTTAACTGTTATTAGCAAAGTTTGCATACATAAACAAGTAATGTATGGGGTTATGAGTGTCTGCAACTGTTATTTTGTGGGTCAAAAGCAAAAAAGTTTGAATTAGTGCTTATAAATTTAGCCCATAAATTTAGCAAGTGCTAATCCACTAATGAATTAAGAAATTAGCAAAAGCCCTAAAGCACTAATCAGGAAATTAGTTCCCCTATTAGTGCTTTAGTGCTTAGGGCAGGGGTCTGCAACCTTTACGATCAAAAGAGCCATTTCTGCTCCTCAATTCACTAATAAAATGTGTACGGAGCCGCAAAACAAGCTACAACTGTGATTATCAACTAGTGGTTCGCTGGCCTTTTCAAGGCCTTTTTGGGAACCTTTACGGTCAGTGGAGGTGACCTTATAAAACTAAAAAAAAATTTTTTTTTATTTTATTTATTATTAAAATACACATCAGGACAAATAAAAAGACCACATTCATTTAAACAAGAAAAATACTCAATATAGTTTATACAGAATTTCATAAAAATAAGTACAGCTGAATTATTCAGGCATTTTTTCTAATTATTATTGTGTAGTCTTCAAATTATTCAAAGGTAATTCTGATGGATTTGAGAGAAAGACCATAGAAAGAAGTTGGATTATTTAAGTAAACAACAGGCTAGCATGAGCTAACAGGTTTTACTTTTGTAATATTAGTATTGATCACGTTTGCATACAAATTGATTTCTGTTGTGGGTATAAAAACAAACAAACAAACAAACAAACAAACAAACAAACAAATATATTCTGTTAAGTTTGGTCACATTTTCAAAGAGCCACTGCAGAGGGACCAAAGAGCCACACGTGGCCCCAGAGACCACTGCTCAGTTGGTAGGGCTGTTGCTTCGCATCAAGAAGGTTGTCAGATTTAATCCAAGCCCAGGACCTTTCTGAGTAGAGTTTGCATGTTTTCTTCATAAGTTTCCTTCGGGTGCTCTGGTTTCCTCCCACAGACCAAAAACATGACTGTTAGATTAAATGGTAACTCTAAAATGCCCCTAGGTGTGAGTGAGAGAGTGAATGGTTGTTTCTCTCTATGTGTGGTCCTGTCATGGACTTGTGACCTGTCCAGTGTGTACCCCATCCCTGGGCACTAGTGGCGACCTGTGATCCTGAAAGGAAGAAGCAGGTAAAGATAATCGATGAATGTTTAATGTTTCAACCAGTCAGATTTCCCTTTAACCTTCTTGCCTTGCTTAATACAGCAAAACAATACATTTGTAGTGTGTGAATGTCTTAATAATATGGGATTTTTAAGAATTTATTTGAACTGTAAATTTATTTTTCTGAGTGGATTGATTAACTGACAACATGACTGAAAAACTTTATCGGGTGCACAAGTTTGAAGTCATGATGTATTTTCTCTAACCTACAAAGGGTTATATCATTACCACACCAGGCTTAAAGCCCTGTCACACTAGACAACTTATGTAAACATTTTTTATGTCTAAATTTTGTTCGAAGTACATTACGTACACGCCGAAAAGAAGCTTCCTGTTGATTTTTTCAATTCCATCTTCAGTGTAGATGTCTTTAAAATGTTCATAAGTTGTCTAGTGTGACTGGGCCTTTAGCTCAACAACTGACCAAGTTAGAGTTGATTTTGTGTTCGCTGAGGTCAGTCATCTGTGGCGATCATCTTGAATCGAGTTGACACCAAAACTTAATCGGTTGTAGACAGGCATCCAGTGATCACTTCCTGAGAGTTTAATTAAAAAACACCCAGCTGTTCATGACAGTTTTTGCCAACATCCATCCATCCATCCATCCATTTTCTTCCGCCTATCCGGGGTCGGGTCGCGGGGGCAGCAGCTTCAGAAGGGAGGCCCAGACCTCCCTCTCCCCAG